AAATAATTGTACATACATACTGTTTCACCAGGGTCGAGTAAAGTCAGAACAAAATTTTTTTACAGATAAAAAGCAAGGCGTCTAACGTGTGAAAAATAGTTGTTTATAATTAGTCGCAGGCTTAAACTAGATTATGTATTACAAAAGAAGTATCGCTGAAATATACGACATGAAATTTGATAGCAATTTGTGGCACCGAATAAAAGACTTCTTTAGTTAGAAAGACTTCTAAAAACCGTACCTTAAACTCAGGACTACCAATAAACCACGTTTTGTAATAAGAATTTTAATGTTTAACCTAGACGCGTAGGACTGTATTTTACATTTGTCAGGAAATACAACAGTGCACTTTGCGCGGCTTTCTTGGTTGGCTTTTTTGGAGAGACTGAATTAAAAAAAAACATCCACCCTAAACTCTTCACCTGTCTCTCAGTAACTGCTTTGTTTGCATTGTCTAGTTATTGTCACAGATTACGGAAAAAGTAACATTGTCGTGTTCTGTAATTATTACAAAATGGTTTAAAGGAAAAACAATTAAAACTTAGATGGCGTTGAATGCATTTTGAAAAGAAAAATGAGATCTTTTTATTTAACAACCCCGTTTTGGAGACCCGACAACTTATTTAGAAGTTCGAGGGGAATAAAGAAATGGATATTTAAGATGTAGGTACATACTAGGCAAAACGAGTTAAGTATGAAGTAGATATTTTAAAGCAGGATAGAGCTCATAATATCACAAATATCGTAATAATTTATCAATTTAAAAAGTAACGATTTATCGATTGTACAAATTCATTTGGAAACAATTTTATTAATTAAAGTTTCTGTCTAATTAAGGTGATATAAAAGGCAATTTGTTAAATTTCAATACATCGCTGAAGAATGAACGCGTGATTTATATACATGTGGTACTTAACTAATGACATGAAATTGAATTATCCTTATTTATACTATCAAAAATACCTAGATATAAAAGTATAGGCACAAGAAATTCCGTAGTTAATGTATGTGCAACATCTATATATATATGATTACAATTAGTGCAATAGATTCCTATAGTACGGCTTAGTTATAAAAGTCACAGTGGGACGAGCAAGAGCTGTCTCGAAATGGATTAATTCTCTAGTATACGTTTAGTTTTAATAAAAAAAATTGAGTCGTTTTTACAACAGGAGTAAATAATAATAGGTAATGACATTCCAGGTTTAGTAGACTCAAAGAGAATATCAAAACTGTTAAGTCCGTTCTTATCTCATTCAATTAGCCGAATACAATAATATATGACGTAAAATGTTCTTACTTTTTATGTCAATATTTACTTATTGGTTTCTAACGTAACACCAACAGTTACTTGCTCGTCCCATTGCACATATATGGCTTAAATATAAAGTTACAACTGCCTCGTATTCCAGCTCATTTTAATATGGCACATTAAACAATACTTTTAAAAATGTTGTGTTTAAAGAACGAAAACAATTATATGAAAAACAAAGTTAAACAATTTTATTATAAACAAAGTTATTCACAAAATATCTCAGTAAAGCAATTTTTTTAAATAAGTATTTCCGTGGAAACTGCTTAACATTAAAAATTGCTCCATCACCATTGACTTGTTATACATAATAAAAAAGAAAATAGTAAAGTTGCTTATTTCAATTGAAAATGTTATAGCCTACGTAGGGCCCACAGATGTGCACAGTCCTTTTCGGATTTCTAAAAGATAAAGCAATTTGTCCGCTACGCTGCTCAAGTGTGTGTTGCCAACTTCACATGTTTTACTTTTAAAATATTGTTACTTTAGAGATTAATGGCTTTGTAATGCAATGTCCACGTGCCTGGCGGTTAAGGAATCTTCGGCATAGACACTTAAAATTGCAATTTATAATTTTACTAGTGCTGGTGGGAATGGCACCCGGGTTGCGCATGTACTGTCAAATACAGTAAAAGTAAATCAAAATGCATTTAACGCGTAGTTAAAATTCAATAAATTTAAAATGTTTTTAAACAGTTACAGATAATATAATAAATAAAAATTATGAAAACTTGGTAGAAACAAACAAAAGTAAAGCATAATACTTTGGTTACAATCAGTAGGTACCTACTTTGTAGTAGTGGCTAAAAGTAAACTACATTTGGTCATTTTGAAATTTTGAAGATAACTGTTATGTGTTCTATGTTAGTACCTTTTAGAATAGTTTTTAATTGTGTTAATGAACTTTATCTTCAATCTGTATACTTTGCACTAACAAAAAAAATATTATTTTTATATTTAGATGCACAGTTATGAAAAAATTTATGAGAAATCGCGTTGTTTCAAAGATAAATAATATATATTAGAAATGAATACCTTCAAATATTTTATTTATTTATTTGAAATTGAAACAAGACAAAAATTCACTATAACCATGCCTTACATCGTAGTCCCCATCACCGTTTAAGTTACCAGTTACATAATTTTTTTTAGAATATTTACACACAAGCTATCCCGTGCTAGACACATAGACAGGCGATAGATACACTAATTCTTATGTGTTAGAAAAACATTTATTTAGAAATATTTACTTTGCAGTAAATCTAGCACATTTAAACATAATATTGGAATTTCATACGAATTAATCCCAGGTTTTTTGTGTTCGTATATCGCGGTGATGTTGAAATTTGATAGGATCTTGTAATTCTAGCCTTACTTTTGTTTTGCATATCCACTTCGCACAAAAACAGAAATTAACATTAATTTCAACCTGTTTAAAATTCGTATTAATTTAAAAATAATTTTTAATTTGTCTTTAAATTGTATCATAAAAATCCTGTAAAAATTCATCATCTGCGACTATAAGTTGGTATAGTATTAATGTATAAACAATTATTTAAGTCAAGATATAAAATACTATTCGCCTACTTTTGTTAGTGTTACACTGAACCTGACTCTGTTCGAAGACTGTACTAAATTTATTGGACAAGTATATCCTATATTTTTCTAACACATTAATTAATCTATATATGTTTAAATTTATAGTAAAGTTTGTGTTCAGTTACGTAAATATTTGTCAGTATTGTGTTCACAGGTATATGACAGATATTTCCCAAATGTGTGCATTTATATTAATTTACAATAAGAGAAAATTTTAAGGCAGTTTTAGACAGCACTAGCACTAATAGTACGAGTAGTAAGTATGATGGTGAATGTGATGTTTCTAAATATACTTTGCGTATTACTTTACTGTAGAATACGTCACTTAATAATTATAAATAGTAACGTTTCTAGTTAATAAAAATTTCGTTCCATAGTCATCAATTTCAGCGGAAAAATTTAAATTTTACCTATTTTTTAATTTAACCTTTTCTATTGATAATTTCATGAAGCATTTGTTAGCAAAATTTCTAGAAATAGCGACAAAAGATTGGATCTTGCTTTATGTTATCTGTATCACACTCACCTTTGCAAAATAATTTGAAGGAACGGAAAACAAGCACAAGACTACATAGAGCTAAAATAACTAAAGTTTGAGCATCGTAAACCTAAGCTCGTGTTATTAATCCAACTATATTGTATATCATTTTAGTCAATGTACCTTGTATAATTTGACGAAATGAACTCTAATGCCCAAGTAATCAAACGCTGCTCAACTTTAAGATGACGTTAAATCTCGTGCTGTCTTTATCGCTTTAAATCAAACTAACTGTGACAACACGAGACTTAATAACGACATCTAAAATTGAGTAGCGTAAGTAGTAATTACTCAAGTATTTGGCCGTAAGCCAATTGTAATTAGGTAGGAGATAAGCAAAACGCAACGTAAATGCGGATTCACAGCCTGACTTCGAACATTGAGATCACTGAAAAGTAAGAGCCTTAAAAGAAAAAAATAGTTAATATTAATACTACTTGATTCTGAATAGGCAATGGAATAGTTTGGCACAACTGTTTGTTTAGTGCTTAAAACAATAAATGTGTTTCAAGCTGAAATTATTCTCCAGATTGTTATCCATGCTAAATTCCTCAAATTAATTAAAGTATATTTAGGTTAAATATCCGGAATATATATTTCAAATTCTAACAAATAACAAATTAGCATAATTATTTTAGATATAATAGTAGGTAGTATTTATGTAGATAAAATAGATTAAGATAACACAACAAACATTAAAAAGTCAAAGTTTAACAATAATCAGTCTCTAGGTAACATAACATAGAAAGTAGTAAGTTGAATATAGATAGTGATTGCACTTTTTACTGTACAATCAATGTTTCTTTTTGATACTGCAAATAAAAGTAGCATTAGATTGCCTCATATTTGCATTGGTAAGTTTTTACTGTACAACCAATATTTCTTTTAACACTGCGAACATAAAGTAGCATTACATTGCCTCATATTTGCATTGCTAAGTTTTTAATGTACAACAAATGTTTCTTTTTGATACTGCAAACATAAAGTAGCATTAGATTGCCTCATATTTGCATTGTTAAATTTTATCATGTTATACAAAAGAGCACCTAAAATCTAAGATTTGGTCCGTCTGGTAAAATATAGATAAAAGTTGAATCTAAATTTTCTATTAATTTTTAAGCAACGATGCATCAAACTAACTGCGCTAATATTGAAGCGAAAAATTTATCAAGTGAATTCTTCAACCCATGAGCAATAATGCGTGTTATGTAAATAACTATTGTTTGATTTTTTTATAGTCGCTATTGCTTAGTAATTTAAATATTTGTCTCATGTATGTTAGAGAGTGTCACTTTTTAACTTAATAGAATTACTTTAACATTATCTGGCAACTCTTCATCTCAAACAATAAAGACAGATTAAAACTTACTAAGTGCGAGGTCATAGATAAACAACGAAAGCAATTGATAAGTCTAAAATATTGAAAAACATTGACGTAAGACAACTATAGAAAAATGGTGTGTTTACACGCTGTACTTGGAAATAATTAAATTTATTGTAGTCTATGTAATGTGAATGTGCATCAAATCAGTAAATCGTTTAACCAAGTCTTTACATTCGCGACATGACCATGTAGCGTCCATCAGACAGAAGTTCTCTGGTGTCGGACGGCGACCCTGGACTCAGACTTGCAGTCACCGATCCCTGCGAATAAGTATCCTTGTTGAATCTGCCCAATCTCTTTTCTGCTTCAGAAGTGACGGATATTTCTTCTTCCGTGATCTGTTCAAGAGGCAGCTCGCGTAACACGTCCCCATTTACGGCCAATTCGTTAACGAAGCCGTGAGCGTCAAGCGTTTGCTCCGTATAAGTTTCAGTAATAGCTTCCGATTGAGCTTGGTTCTCACGAGCACGCTTTGCGTTCTTTGTGTGCATGCCGCCAGTTTCGGCGTCTCTCTCCAATCTGTGTCCGGACCGTGACCTTGTGAGTTGCCTTTGAACATACTCTTCCAATGCGTCCTCCTCGCTCTTAGTCAAATATTTGTGTAGTGCTATCAAAAAGATGCCGATACCGATAGCGAAGAGCCCGGAGCAGACTAGCTCATTGAACCAGCTTACGGAACCGATGCTGCTCCACGATGTGACGTCATCAGGCAACCATCCAGACCCAACGAGGAAGAACCCCAGCACAAGGAACACGACGCCGAGATGGAGCATGCCGACGGACGAGACGACTTCATTGTCAGTGGTTCTGGGGTTCTTGAAGCGCCGCCTCTCGAGGCTGCCGATGGAGCAGTGGGGGGAAGTGCCGCCGGACGCGGGGGACTGGACCGAGTAGCGGCGGTCGCGGGCGCGCTGTTGTTCGGCGCGGCGCTTGCGCTCGCGGCGGATGGCGAGCGCCGAGTGCAGCCCCACCGCATGCATCCTGCAAGCACGGGCACGGGTTAGCGAGGTCGCGGTGAGCGGCGCCGCGGCCGACCAGGCGGGGGCCCGTGCACAGCGACCCGCCGACCCGTGCCCGTGCCGTGCCGCGGCGTTCTTTTTTATAGGATAGGAGTGACAATTTTCGCGATAGAGTCACGCTGCAGCCATATTACGGTTGTAGCATAAATAGATCGGCTTGACCGGGATCCTACGCTCTCACAAAATAGCAGCTTAATGCTGCTGTGTTCCGTTTGGTGAGTATATAGAATTGGAGGCACTTTTTACTGAAAAGGAGGCATTCCATCTTAGGCTACAGGAGTGATAACGCATCTACAGTTTGATTATTAACTGAGGATAAATGTAGGTTCCCTACACTCACCATACGAATCACAGAGCGTAGTCCTTAGCCAGTCGAGCCGACTCATTCGAGCTACAGCCACAACACAGCTGTAGTGTGGCTCTAACACGTGTACACGTTACGTTATTTATTCATATTTTATTATTGCCAATTGGTCTTTAAATTTGCTTTCATAGTGGTAGGCAATTAAGAAAACTGATGGTAACAAAATTTGGTGAACAGTTTAGTGTTGTACCTACATACCTATGTATCTACTACATCAATCTGATACGTACCTATATATATTAATTTAATTGCATCAGTTGATAACTAAAGGTTCAAAGAATTCGTTTCGTGGAGTGAGGAGTGTGGGCATCACGCCCGGCGAAAGGTTGAGCACCGCCATTTGAGCTCGTTTCCCTGTGTCATTTAATTTCCGTTTGGTATAAATTTTGAATTTACGTAGACATATAATTACGTAAAACACACTGCCGTGTCCTCGACACAGTCAAAACTAGAAATAATGCTTATTGAAAGTCACTTTTATGTTAATTTATTATTGGTTCGGAAAATACCTCCATCCTGGGAAAAAAACAGCAAGAAACTCATCGGGATATTTAAGAACTTTCTAAATTCTATAGAAATTTTATGACAATTGTAATAGAAAGAGCATTGCGTAAATTTCACTTGCCACTCCGCTTGATTGAACCCGCAAACATTTTTATAGGATAAGGATGACAATCAAGCACAAGGTACACCTGATGGTATGTGGATGTTTTGGCCCATAGACTTCTAGATCTATCCTCGATTATATTTCAAAGCGTAGATGCGTTGTTACCGCTAAGGACTAAGATGGAATGCCTCCTTTCAAGTTAAAAGTTCTCAAAACTCACTACACGAAACATAGTATTATTAGTCTGCTATTTCACACTGTTATTCTGAGAGAGCATGGTCCTTCCCCGGTCGAGCCGACCCATTGACGCTACTATATAGTTGCAGCATGCAAAATATTTACACACAACTGAAGCATAATTTAAAAATCATGCTCTATCAGAATTATTTCAGTACGTTTATTTCGTCTAAAATAAAAACATTTATAAATATTGCAACGTATAAAGTAAAGCAAATCTATCAGATAACTTATATTTTAGGTTACTGGAAGATTACAAAGACATTGCAAAAATTTTCCACGGACTGCGTGAAAAAGGTCTAACCCTCATTAAGAATCCACGTAAAACTTAATCGCTACCGATTACAGAGTATAAAAGGTACGGTAAGAGGATGTCGCGGGGGCTTTTCGTCCATACAACCGTATTCCACAGTTTTTTACTTGGATATTAACATAGAGAAATTTTTTTTTCGATACAATATGTGTCTACCACGGTAACGTATATTTTTTATAAATAAATTATTTTAAAAACGAAGAACTTTCAGAAATTTTTAAAACTGCCCTGGTATACCACAGTTGTTAGACATCCAGCAAACTAATAGGCCTCTACTCTAAATTAGTTTTAACCGACATCAAACAGAAGAAAGTTCTCAATTTGGAGTGTATGTTGTCTTATGTATGTTACGAGATATCTACGTAGATTGTGAACCAATTTTAATGATTATTTTTTATCAAGTAGGTAATATTTCAAGGATGATCCCATATAAATGTAGAGAAAATATTCCACCCCCAAGGGTTACAAATAAATAACTTATTTTTTAAGAAATTTTGAATTCGGTTTTTGCTTTTTATTTTAAGTTATAATTTAATTATTATTATTTTATTAAATTAAAATATAAGTTAATTTATATTTTAATTTAATTTAATAAATTAAATGTGATAATTATCTTAGTTAGACTAACATTATTTTGCTTCTCCACTGAGATTGTGGTGAGTCCTCACATAGCGGTATAGGGTTGCTCAAGTATGAAATTTAAGCTTTCTGCTCCAGAGTTACAACGGTTTTATAATTTAGTTAAAATGCTTTGAAATTGATACTAAACTACGTAGCTTTATATTAATATATGAAGAGAAAAAGTACCCACACGGAGCGCATGGAGGAGTGTGAGATTTATTGTAGTTTAAGAATATAATATGAAGAAGTGCAGAATGCTACATTTTGACAACAGCGAATGGCAAGTGCAACTGACATACAAGTGCTCAGTACGTGTGAACAGGTGTAAGTGACAGGTGATAAGTGTGAAATGAATAGTAACAAGTGAACAGCAGCCTCCTTTATTCTTTGACAAGTAGCTCTGCCCCGCGCTACCCTCGATTTCCCCTCATTCGCCCATCGCCATCACTCTTGCCGTAAAACTGCATGTAATTTAACCTTGGCGAGCAAAACACTATCTAGGACATGGTCTAATAACGTGTTAAAAGAGTCTTCAGTTAATCTCATTGCAAAATAATATTCCTGAGCATCCTCGACCGCTAACTCGTATAGAAGTTTCATAATTAGCCCCACGGATTGTTTTGCTAGCAATCCAATTCCGTTATCACACTCGTTGTGATCTATACCGTTCCTGGACTACTTCTTCTTCGATATGCTCCAAAACAATGTGACTTCTCTGATTACTTCAGAAAATTATAGGAGCAGTTGCCCATCCATTTTGGAATTCTCACATAATAATGACATTACTGCATATCCGTTTGCATTTGTGTTTACTTGCCAATCTCATTCGCACTCAAGTCATTTCTCAAAATGGAAACCGGGCCTAAGATTTATATATAGTATTTGATACAAAGACACTAAATTCAATAAAAATAGAACATTCAGTAATGGAGTGTAGAGGTAAGGTTAGAGAGGAGAACAGTCTCTGTATTAAAAAGTGTCCGTAGAAAAGCGCTAAATTAGGGTGGCGCCACTGTAGCTAGAGGGTAAATATTAAAGAACGTTTATAACTCTTTATTGCACAGACTTTCAAAACAATTCTTTTTTATAATAGTGAAATCATTGTTTTCAAAATTTTTACTTTCAAAATTACTCTCAACGTGTTTCACGGCGACTTTTCTAGGTTAAATTTACTAAATTATTTTACACAACGTAAGTAGGTGAGGTTTTAAATATTGCAATTTCATCAACTACTCTAGTAACACTACAAATATTATATTCTTCAACTCAGCACACTCCATACCGTCGAGAACTGCTAAGTTCATTTGAAACCCTCTAGCTACTCCAGCGCTGTTGTGGAGAGTGTTTGAACTTTTATTTACTACTTACAGATGGACACTTTTTCAACTATTCTCCTATGTGAGATTGCGTTCAAGATTTAGGTTCGTACTACCAATGTCAAACACTTAATAGTCTATGGTCAAACAGTCGCACAGAGTATCTACAGATTGTCGCCAAAGAATGTTAAAATGTTGCCGACAAATAATGATTGACATATTGATAGGCTGTTCGTTTTTCTATAGTCTGAGGTGTTTCTTGTGTTCTTTTAGCGTCAAGACAAAAAAGCGTAATATTTTATACTTTGAATGTTAAATATGTGATCGTGCTGTTAAAAGTGAAATACAGCTTGCTTAATATACAAACCAAAAATTTAATGAATACGGTCGAATTTAAATCGCTAGTTTAATAAATGATTTGCATCCACAATATTTTTTCACAATACGAACGTAATGTTAATTCACGCGCATAATCTCCATACTATTTATTTAATCTACTTTCACTATTTCAATCCTGAGTCACTTCTCTGAAGTAAATTCTATTTTAAACTAAACCATAACATTTCAATTTCAGTTACAAGATATTTGCAGATGTTCCCATTATATATTCCTAATGATAGCTCAAGATTTATTGAACGTAATCTATCATGGATACAGAGATGAAACATCAAGTCCTATATAGCAATAAACATCTGTATTTACCTGACACAAATCTCAAAAACACGTCTAACGAACCCCAATATAGGTTAAACACCGTGTTTCTAAAATAAATATTTAACGCATCATGAAATCTGTTTAGTATTTCTAAATGAAAACTATGAATAATATCATTATTAAATTGAATAATGACTAGAGTCACCCGCATTTTTCACGATACTTTATTATGCACGTGTAACTAGATCTTTCTAAGATAGTTAATAGAATCGGGCGTTACTTTGCGGAAATCCGTTATATTTAAGTTTTAAAAATTGCGATAGCTGACCGCTAAGATTTGACAAGTGTATCTTAGTATAGTACTGTAGGGAGGAGATATGTTGGTACTTGTGGTGACGATGATAGTGCACGCAATTTAGAGACACTGTACTGCTCTGGAAGTCCTCGCCTGAAGATGTTAGAACAATATCTAATAGAACAGCCTTTGAAAGATTGATTGGTACGTGAATATTCTCTACTTCTTCTCGTTACTTGTAATTGTAAGATCGTGCATATATAAATCTTACATCTGGTGGTTTTCCGTGTCTTTGTATATGTATGAATACTATAGTATATAAGTATTTTTCATAGATATTCGTTTTCATATATGTATATTTATTGGTTTAGTGAGTAATACGTTATCTCCACACGTCCCGAGTTGACTGAGAGAGAATGCCTAGAGTCATTATGTCCGCAATTTGTAATCTTTTCCATTAAAGAGTTATAAACAATAAAGTGTAAATAAATAAAATAAATGAAATTTTAAAGTGCGTGTAGAGTTACGGTGCAGTCGTTATGTTTGTATCACCA